AATGACTTGCTCGTTTCTGACTCGAACACTGATTTTTATGTCGAGTCATAATTTCACTAGAAAGTCAGGCCAACGTTATTTTCCCTTGTCAGTATAGACAGAGTATTTCTAATTGCTCGATTCTTCTTTTAACTTCTCGTATACGAAGTATAGAGGAGGTATCGTAATCGTGCAAAAAATCGAAATCGAGATTTTTGCAAATCTCCACGTTTTACACCTCACTGAGTCGAAAGGACATAGTTTTGCAATTTTGTTTCTATGTCTATGTGTGTGTGTCTGTGTGGATGTGTGTCTGTGTGTCTGTGGACACGATAACTTGAGTACTGTTACGGCTAGGTTGATAAAATTTCATATAAAATTATTATATCAAATATCTAGTTCTGTATCAATTTTTCTGTGATTTCCGGTAACGGAAGTGGACCTTATTCGTCTTTTGGTTTTTGCTTTCTGTCAAATTTTGAGTAATTTCTGTCTACCGGAAGTAGTACTTTACGCTATTTCCAATTTCTCAAGAAACGCCTTTGAATTTATAAAGTACTAATATTCAGAACTATTATACACAGATTCTTTGCTGTTCACTTGGTGCGCAATTTTTTTCCTAGTAGTTTCTACTAGCCATGGGAACCCGTTACACGTGAAATATAGGCCTATCTATTTCTAACTTTGTACTTGTTTGGAAAAAATAATTTATAAAATAGTTATTGGTCAAAACACAATGTGCTTTACTACACGTTGAACAATATTAGTGACAAAGCAAGTAAATGACTAAATAGCTCTAAATCCGACACATTTAAAATAACCAATATCTATTAGAAAAATTGAAACCAAATTATATACTTTATTAGTCACCGCAACACCATATTAAATCACACATTGATTAAGAGAATTACATGACCCCATTAAAAACCCGGCTGTTCAATGGTATTTATTTTGTTTTGTTTTTTAAATATTTTGTATTAGTTTTGGTCTAGATAATAGTATGCTTTTTATAGCGTACTTCTTGATAAGTAGATCCATAGATCTAAATCAAATTAGAATAAAATAGTTCATTGTGAAGTCACTTGATTCATTTACTTGTTTCCGCAACAAACATGGCGGCTTTCATGGAAGGCCATGATGCACATTCAAAAGTTTAACACATTATACATTTATAGAGCTAAATTTTCTGTCGACTGAAGATTTTTACGACACGTCTGTATACTATTTTATTAGGTTCGAACACTATGTTTTTTTTATATGTAAACTGAGATGTGACTTATTTTTAGATGTGAATGATAAAGGCGCCCTTTTGGGACTTGGCCGGACACTTGGCAGGTAAAGTAGAGTTTACCTGTGTCTGTGATTTAACTTACTTATTCCATTTTAAAATAAGACACACGTAGCCTAACCGTTGGCTGTCTGTAATATAATGTACCCACAAACTTTCCCTTCTTTTATACACGTCCTAATCTCTAAGTCATAACTTCAAGATATATTACTTCCCTCACAATACTTCTGATGGTACCGAAATGGGTGTAATATTAGTTCACATTTTAATCCCAATATAACCAGTGTTTCTTCAGACATTTTACCTCCGGGGGGGGGGGGGGGGCAGAGGCGTAGCGACCCTTCCCGGGGACAAACTTTCGATTTGCATCCCCTCTCAAACTTTCGATTTGCCCACCCCCTCGAACTTTTCATTTGCACCCCTCTCCCCTCAAACTTTGGATTTGCACCCCCCCCCCCCCTCCTCAAACTTTCAATTTGTTTTTCCAACCCGTTTTGGTGCCCCCCCCCCTAAAGTCGGCGCCCGGAGACATATGTCTCCCCCCCCCGCCGCCCCCCTTCGCTTCGCCTCTGGGGGGGGGCACTTGATATTTTCGGGGGTCAGAAAATTTTCAGGAATGCGGACACTGATAACAGTAAATATTTTCTATATAAATTCTATTTCGTGAGGGGGGGGGGTGCGGTACGGTAAACTTACTTCATCCCCCCCCCCCCAAGAGATGCCTGGAATAAACTCTGAATATATATAACAGGCTAAAGATTGAAGGGTAATGTAAACAAAAAGTACAATACTCTAAATCTACGCAAATTTGTATATGCGACAATCGTAACTTAAAACTATGTAATAGTTTAAGAATATATATTTTTAATAAGTCAAAAAATAAATTAACCAATAAAACTAACACACATTCTAATCTTGAAAGAGAAGCCAAATTTTAACATTTTTAGATTAAAATAAGTAAATACAGATACTAAGTTTGTATAAAGTATATTAAATTTAATTTAAAAAAAAACTGATCTAATGAGGTAAAGGAGGTACCCGTTATAAAATGTGATCAACATACTCAGTTTAACATTAATCTTATTTCGGAAAGACCAGTATTTGCACTTTACATAAAACTAACCAAAGAATGAAATAATTTATGGAAAGGACTTCATTTTCCTTTAAATCAAAATAGAACGCGAAATTTTAAATTTCATGTACAAGAGCATTTAATGTAGAATCCAAATGACAGTTTTACATAGATATAATTATATACATATTTGAACGAAAAGTGGTTTAAGAACAGTGTAAAATGAGTATTTGTAAATAAAATACATTGGACTTTGTATACTATCAAAAGTTTTTAAAAAGTTCAGCTTTAAATAAATTTTCTATTTAAGATTGTATACATGTATCAAAAATTTTATATGATGATCAAGACACATTTTATATATATTATTAAAATGTATTAGTTTATACTCAATCATTTAGACTTAATGTTATAGGTAACTTTAATAGAATCTAAGTATTATTTTAAATAAATTATCAAGTGTTATTTCCCCTTAATAATGTAATGCCCTTGAATACGCTTTTACTTTACGTTTATATATTGGTTTATTTCACTACCAAAAGTCAGCCAAGTCAAAGTCTCTGTGTGGGTATGACGGTCGTGTATGTTCTACACGACTCCTTTTTCCATACTTCTTGTGTTACAGCGGTCACCAGTACAAAAACATATGGATATCAAATTGTGGGTCAGGCATTTGTTGGTTGGTTTGATAGTCAGGTCGGGGAAGGCTCCGTCTGAACAACCACGAATAACATCTAGAACATAAGCAAATACAGCCATTATTAACAAATTATAAGCTAACTTGTTTAAAGCGTGATTTTTTTTTATAAATGAAGTTTATTTATATTTATATCGTTTATATCATTATTTTGTTAAGTCAATATTCGGTAGGAATTTCCAAGAAATAAAGTTTCAGATGAACCAATGTATAGATTTCATTTAATGGTTGATAATTCTCCATGTCAGCATACACTTGTTTTATTAAATGCCGTTGCGCATATTGTTTGTTATTTCAATAATAACAGAGAAATGTGTAAACTCTACTTCAGCTACGCCATTTGTACCTTTGTACCAACAAAGTTTATGTATAACATTTGAACGATTGCTCTATCTACATTAACTAGTCGTGTGTTTGTTTAGTTGGGGCTTTGATCGCAGCAGCATTAAGATAGAGCTGCTAATATTTGCTCAACTTTCTGCAATTTTAAACTTATGTTTAGAGTATAGCTATGATTTATATCTTCTTCTTCTTTCTTCTTCTTCGTTCTTAATTTTAGTGTTGGAAGGGATCACCTCCAACACAATTAAGGATTACGTGTCAACTGGTTATGCGACAATGATGCCATTGACTCCGAATTCAGCCTGCTTTTCTTTTTGGATTTGCTTCCATAGCCTTTGTCCAATCAAGAACAAACTACACGGCAGCAGTTGTTTGATTTTGGAGTTGTCTCTCCTAAAAGAGTGGCTTTCCCCAGCTAACGAGCCTCATCTGCCCGAGGGTTCGAACTCGAGACTTTTCGTTTTAGCAACCACGAGCTTTACCGACTCGATTACACCGACCCCTTGATTTACATCTGATAACAAAACAATCAATACTCACTGGTTGTGTTGACAAATGACATACAAGGGCCCGTGCACTTGATGGTCGGTGTGTTGAACCTCATTTTACCGTTGGCGGGACAATTACGGTTTGGTTTCTTAATGTTGCAGCCACTGTTACATTTGTAACACTCAACATTAGGTAGGGTTTGTGTGGTGGTGGGTTGGTTCGATGTTGTTGTTCTTACAGGGGTAACCGATGGTTGAGTTGTAACGGTGGTAGCTCCTGCGTTGGTAGAAGCTGAGATAGTGGTGGTGTAGGGGTACGTTGTGGTAGCGTCATTGACAGTCCGGGTGGTGAGTGTGTCGTTTGGTTTGCTGGTTGTTTCTTGAGTCGTAACATAGCTAGTCGTCGTGGTCCTGATTGTGGTGCCTGAATCGCTGGTCTTTTGTGGCGATGTGGTGGTGAATGATGAGGCTGTGGTGGCAGATGCTGTGGGGGTAGAGGTGGTAGTGTTGGTCTCATTCGACTTGCAAAAAAATGCTTCCACTGTTGATAAAATGCTTTTCACTGAATTGTAAACCCTTGCTTTATCCCCAGGCTTGCAGTATTTATCGGCATACTCTGTTAGACAACTCCTCATTGAAGTCGGGTACCTTCAGTTAAAATAGTTTGATTATAAAATCTTTACATTCCATACATGCTGAAAGAGAGTATAGAAAGTAAAAGAAATTCAAAAATATCACTGTTTAAAAAAAAATTAAATAAATAAACCACGTAGAAATAATGTCAAATATATGCCGGCATTATATTTCCGACAATGCACCAGGAACACGAGTACAAACAATACTGTGGAAAAAAGCAGATAACATAAAACATGACAGACGACAGGTTTATAAACTGTTGAGATGTAATTCTACTATACAGACTATCGAAGGTGAAGAAAAATTCTAAGTGTTAGCGCACAAAGAGAAAGACTCCAGACATTGACTTAAAATACAAAGCATTTAGAACTTTTTTTTAAAAATGTGATGCAAAACAGGGTTGAAAACTATAAAGAAAAATGTTAAATAACAAGAGCACAAGACGTAAATATAGATCTAATAAACAGAATGTCGAACAAAGAGCATACATGCACTCATCCTCACTTGGTCTCGATTGAAAATCACCGACTGACGATCTAAAATTTTCATGTTGTAAACAGGACTGCAATGCAACTAAATCTGTGAAATAGTCAAACCAACGTATGTATCAATGTATGTATGTATCAATATATATATATATATATATATATATATATATATATATATATATATATATATATATATATATATATATATATATATATATATATATATATATATAAGGGGTCGGCGTGGTCGAGTCGGTAAAGCTAAACCGAAAAGTCTGGAGTTCGAACCCTCGGGCAGATGAGGCTCGTTAGCTAGGGACAGCCACTCTTCTGGGAGAGACAACTCCAAAATTATACATTTGCTGTCTTGTAGTTTGTTCTTGGTTGGACAAAGGCTATGGAAGCAAATCCAAAAAGAAAAGCAGGCTGAAATCGGAGTCAATGGCCTCAATGGCTGATAAATTCGAACAAAGTCTCGAGTTCAAACGCATTGGCAGATAAATCTCGATCCCCTTCAACACTTATCATTAAGAACGAAAAAGAAGAAGATATATATATATATATATATATATATATATATATATCGATGGTCTCGGTCGCAAACCGTCTAACTCCGAAAATGTAAATTTTACAGGAGAGACAAAAAACTGATTATTTCCTCTTCGATCGCTCTAATACAAATTTTTTTTAAAGATATCTCCGAAGAAACTCTCTACCGACTATACTGTAGCGTTTTAAAATGGGTTTTGTTGATATTTACAAAATTATAGCAGGTTTAAAAAGATAGGCGGTTTGCTCGGTCTAAAATTCTCGGTGCAAACCGTCTATCTGTGCGCGCGCAGACTTAGCTGTTTTGAGCCGAGAATTTCGGTCTCAGTCGCGTTCGTTCGTTTTTGTCCAATGAACGTGATTTAGTTATGTATTTGTTTTTAAGTTATAATTAACACTTCATAATATTTAGATTATAGTTTTGGGCTCATATTTTAATTATTTGAGTTTATTCTACGATATGGGGTCAGTTTAATTTTTAGTAGAGATGTTTAAGTATGGCTTTATCGCTTTCGACTGTATTCATTATGTCTGTATTTAGCACTAGACTTGTTAACTGTTGAAGGTTATGCTTTATTTATTACATCTTTCTATTTTACTAAATCTGGTGGGTGCTGGGTTTGTAGAATGATAATAGTAAAAACAGAAACCGTATTGTCAGATATATTATGAATGAGATATAACACACTAATCACATTAATACTGACTTAATGTTTACTTATTTTACAAAAAATGTATCACAAAAAAATGTGTTTATTTTTAAAATGTATTCTTTGAATAAACGTTACATCAAGAAAAATTAAAATGGCATATATTTTTAAAATCAGAGAAATCATCATAAAAAGGTGTGTTTATGACTTGCTTTTAGGTGCTGAAATATGACAGCTTTTATCTTTTTTTTTTCCTGCTCTTGTACAACTTGACAGGGGTACAGATGATATCATAATCTTACGACCTAGCTTAGCAATTGCCATCTATCTGCTAATTCACTTTTAAGTAGACAGTAGCATCAGGCTTGTACTGCAGTGCACGAATATCTGTCGCTTTGAATTCTTGATAGGTCTGACTTGTCTTTTGAGATCAACTGGTCTCTTGTAGGGTAAGGCTGGTCTTTTTGAGAGAGGTTGGTGTCTAATGTCTGTTATGTGAGGCTGGTCTATTGTATGTTACGACTGGTATATTGAGAAAGGCTGGTTTCTTGTATGGTAAGACTGGTCTGTTGAGAGACTTGTATCTTAGAGGGTAAGATTGGTCAGTTGAGAGAGATTGGTCTTTTGTATATTACGACTGGTCTGCTGAGAGAGACTGGTCTCTTGTGAGTTACTGGTGCCTTAATGTTACGACTGGTCTGTTATGAAAGGCTGGTGCCTTTACGATTTGTCAGTTGACAGATGCTGGTGTCTTGTATGGTAAGACTGGTCTGTTGAGAGAGATTGGTCTGTTGAGAGAGGCTGGTCTGTTGAGAGAGGCTGGTCTGTTGAGAGAGGCTGGTCAGTTGATAGAGACTGGTCTGTTGAAAGAGACTAGTATGTTGAGAGAGGCTGATCTGTTGAGAGAGGCTGGTCTGTTGAGAGAGGCTGGTCTGTTGAGAGAGACTAATATGTTGAGAGAGGCTGATCTGTTGAGCGAGGCTGGTCTGTTGATAGAGACTGGTCTGTTGAGAGAGACTAGTATGTTGAGAGAGGCTGATCTGTTGAGCGAGGCTGGTCTGTTAATAGAGACTGGTCTGTTGAAAGAGACTAGTATGTTGAGAGAGGCTGGTCTGTTGAGAGGGGCTGGTCTGTTGAGAGAGGCTGGTCTGTTGAGAGAGTCTGGTCTGTTATGTGGTAAGACTGGTATGCTGAGAGAGGCTGATCTGTTGAGAGAGGCTGGTCTGTTGAGAGAGGCTGGTCTGTTGAGAGAGGCTGGTCTGTTATGTGGTAAGTCTGGTCTGTTAAGAGAGGCTGGTCTGTTGAGAGAGGCTGGTCTGTTATGTGGTAAGTCTGGTCTGTTGAGAGAGGCTGATATGTTGAGAAAGGCTGGTCTGTTGAGAGAGGCTGGTCTGTTATGTGGTAAGTCTGGTCTGTTGAGAGAGGCTGGTCTGTTGAGAGAGGCTGGTCTGTTATGTGGTAAGGCTGGTCTGTTGTAAGAGGCTGATATGTTGAGAGACTGGTCTGTTGAGAGAGGCTGGTATGTTGAGAGAGGCTAATCTGTTGAGAGAGGCTGGTATGTCGAGAGGCTGGTCTGTTGAGAGAGGCTGGTATGTTGAGAGATTCTAGTCTGTCGAGTAAGAAGGGTATGTTGAGAGAGGCTGGTCTGTTAAGAGAGGCTGGTCTGTTGAGAGAAGCTGGTATGTTGAGAGAGGCTGGTCTGTCGAGTAAGGAGGGTATGTTGAGAGAGGCTGGTCTGTTAAGAGAGGCTGATCTGTTAAGAGAGGCTGGTCTGTTGAGAGAGGCTGGTCTGTCGAGAGAGACTGATCTGTTAAGAGAGGATGTTTTATTGATAGAGACTGGTATGTTGAGAGAGGCTGCTATGTTGAGAGAGGCTGGTCTGTTGAGAGAAGCTGGTATGTTGAGAGAGGCTGGTCTGTCGAGTAAGGAGGGTATGTTGAGAGAGGCTGGTCTGTTAAGAGAGGCTGATCTGTTAAGAGAGGCTGGTCTGTTGAGAGAGGCTTGTCTGTCGAGAGAGACTGATCTGTTAAGAGAGGCTGTTCTGTTGATAGAGACTGGTCTGTTGAGAGAGGCTGCTATGTTGAGAGAGGCTGGTCTGTTGAGAGAGGCTGGTCTGTTGAGAGAGACTGATATGTTGGGAGAGGCTAGTCTTTTGAGAGAGGCTAATCTGTTGAGAGAGGCTGGTATGTCGAGAGGCTGGTCTTTTGAGAGAGGCTGATCTGTTAAGAGAGGCTGGTCTGTTGAGAGAAGCTAGTATGTTGAGAGAGGCTGCTATGTTGAGAGAGACTGGTCTGTTAAGAGAGGCTGGTCTGTTATGTGGTAAGTCTTGTCTGTTGAGAGAGGCTGATATGTTGAGCGGCTGGTATGCTGAGAGAGGCTGGTATGTTGAGAGAGGCTGGTATGCTGAGAGAGGCTGGTCTGTTGAGAGAATCTGGTATGTTGAGATAGGCTTTTCTGTTGAAAAATTAATCATAAAAGCATTTACTAAAGACAACTTACCATGTCGTTGAACATGTACGCCAAACATTTTGTAACCTACCATATAAACATTTCTTCACACGTATCTAAACCCTCAATCTAAAGCTAGTAGTGAATTAACAATTATTAAATTCATTGCACATTCTTGTAGAAATATAATTCGAATTATATTGTTTTGATTGATATTTAGATTCTAGAATGAAGATCTAGTTTCAAAGCATTGTGTTAGCCCAAAAAATTGTAAACAAATCAGTTTGGTTATTGACAATCTGGAAATAGGCTATATTAAACAAATACTATTTGTTTTTTATTCTTTAAAATGATAAAATGTAATAAAATAGTTGAATATAATTAATCAAATATCCTTACCTATAAGTACTGTGACTGCTGTGCTGTAAAATTGTGTGATTACGGCGTGCGACTGCGTTCCCGATCAAATGTGTATTGACAAATGTAGCGATATTCGTTTTGCGCCGAGATTTTTAGTGCTAGAAATTATAGGCGGTTTGTTCAGATGATTATATCTCAATAATCATTCTACAGATTTCTCTAATATTTTCAGGCATTATGGGGAATCATATTGGCTTTTGATTTATGTAAAAAAAAGAAAATCGAATTTTTTTGAGTTAGACGGTTTGCGACCGAGACCATCGATATGTATATATATATATATATATACATATATATATATATATATATATATATATATATATATATATATATATATATATATATAGAGAGAGAGAGAGAGAGAGAGAGAGAGAGAGAGAGAGAGAGAGAGAGATAAACTATATATATATATATATATATATATATATATATATATATATATATATATATATATATATAATGCATATGTATATTTATCATTCTGACTATAAAAATTTCGAAGTCGGTTTCTAAAAATAGATTTCACGTCTGCAGTTTACATGTGCATGTTTTGACGTCAATTGTTTCTTTTTGAAATTTAATTTGCATAATTAATCCGACAAAGACGCTTTAAATAACACAAGAGGTTAATCATTTTTGACACATTAGAAGGGGTCGTAACTTATGAAACGATGCATATTTTAGCAAGCTCAAAATAAGGCTATGGTGTAAATTTAACCCCAACAAAAAAAATCATCTCCTTTTAAGATGAAATATTAAAGGATATTTAAATAAAAATTTCAATTATAATAAAAAATCTAAAGCAGTAAAACGTTGTAGTCTTGTTTTAAGTTAATTCGAATCCACTACATTTATATATTGTCAGGCTTTTTATTTACATATTATAAATAGTAAAAATCAAATCTGCTTAGAGAGGCATAAAGATAATCAAACATGTTGTTACGATAGAATTTTCAGAAATCATATTTTGTAAACATTAATATTATAGCCTTTGGAATATCAACTAAAATACTTTGTGTATGAAAAATGCATTAAAAAACGTTTTAATAAAAGGCTTTATTGTAATAGTGTTCTAAAATGAAGAAAATAAATGGTTTTTTTATTTATTTCCTCCATTCTTATAGCATATTACATATAAAAGCTTGTTATTCAAACCTTTTTATACTATAAAAGAATCATCACCTGCATAGCCGTCTTCAGTGCAACCCCAGTCAGCTAACCCTTTATGTATGAGGAAGCCAGTCGTATAGCTCAAACTACAAATTTTAAATATCTGCCCCAGCAAGGAGCTGGCACTGTAAAATAAAGTTTAAGTTGTAAAATCTAAGGAGGACAAGATAGATAGATAGATAGATAGATAGATAGATAGATAGATAGATAGATAGAGAGAGAGAGAGAGAGAGAGAGAGTGAGAGAGAGAGAGAGAGAGAGAGGTAATGAAATCTTACGTTTCATATAATGGATCATCTATTAAATCCGAAATGGTGTTAGCTTTTATTATAATTATGAAAGGTATAAAAAAAGATCAAGTGAAAGTTCCAATCCAAAATGTTCTGTAAATTCTTTCCATATCAGTCGTATATTTCAGTCGTAATATTTTTTTTTGGCGGCAGATAATGGCCCGCGAGTCTCTAATTCGGTCATATGAAACAAGAGCATTATCCTTTCTTCGTTGGATACAGCCACGATAAATACCCGACTTGAGTTTGGAAAATTCAAGGTAGCTGGCAATACACCTGACCCTCCCTACCTCATGTGTTTAGGTCGGAAAAGCTAAACTCTACTCTCGTTGGCCGGACATAATAAAAAGCAGAATGGTATTCTGTCTTCCAAATTATTTTTGTAATTTGAAGATGTACGTAAAGTGATTGATATGTAAAACAAAATATTACAAATCTATCGTGATTATTATAACAGAACTACTAAGAAATAACAACCTACTTGCAGAAATGTTCACGTTGTGACGTCGCATTCTCCGCAAACATCGAAAAGTTGTTAAACCCTTGAAGCTGAACATACCAAATTTCATTAGTCGCAACAACAAGAGTGTTGCATTGGTCATCAACTGAAAAGTGTGTTACTATTTTTTTTATTTTTAAAAATATCACGAAACTGCTTAATAAGTACTACTAAATGTTTATATTAAGCATCCATGTAGCATACATTCACATAAAACATAAAGCAAATACAAATAATATAGATATAATAATAGGTCTACCACTATATAAAATGACAGTATTTCAATTACCATTAATGCAATAGAATCTACATGCAATAACTTAACATAATAAGAATATTATTACCACTACTGGTTTGATTAATAATTAAACGTAGTTCAAATCTACGTTCCTTTAATTAAAGTAAATATAATCTACTACCATTTCATTAAAATAATTAAGTTATACATACCACTAATTGAAGAAGATGTTGTGGTTTCCGTGCAGGATACTAATAATTGTTTTAAAAAATAATAGTATATATATATATATATATATATATATATATATATATATATATATTATAGAATTTATGTGTATAAATATTATAAACTATCAAAGAAAATTAATTGTACTGTTAACTTAAACTGCTTACATTTATTAATAATTTAAAAAAAAACACTTTACGTAATTAAACTTTATATTTAAATGAAATAAAGCGTCATAATTCCAAAAGAAAAATGAACTGAGCTTTATTTTCAGTTATAGGCTCATAGTTACTTTTTAAAAAATCATTCAAATCTTACCTTTTTTATTCATTGTAATAGCAAGCACCAGAGAAACCAACCAAAGAATCCCTTTCATGGTGCACAGGCTGTGTTGTAACCACATTCTGGTTCAATGCTCTTCGCCACACAGTTTGTGTGTGCAGGCAGTTAACCATAACTGTCAGAAGAGGATTACACCTGTCAGTTTATTACAAGCTAGTGCTGTTTTTGTCGGTTTGTGTTATACAGGGACTGACAGGCTGGAGTGCATTTTTGTCATAGCGTGCTAGCAGCATTATCAAGTGAACTTTGTAACACATGTTCAGAACGTTTGTTCATAGTGCTGGTCAAAATTAGCTTCATATGTCTGTGAATAAACATCGTTTAAAAGAAGGAATTAAAACTACTAATGATGAACTACTATTTAAATAATTAAAAAGAAAAGCCAGGGTCATTATATTATGTATTGAATATCTTTGCTAGAATTTAAGAAACGACCCACGCTTTTATTTTTGTTTATTTAAATAGTAGTTCATTATTTTTATTACTTCTACCTTATCTATTTGTTTTCATGCTCATTTTGTTAATAATTTTTTGTCACGAGATTCTTGTGTACTAAAAATTTAAAAACTAATGAAAAAATGCATAATAACAAACTTTAATGTAATAATGTACTAAAATGAAGAACAAATTTTATTTATAAAATAATGTATATATATATATATATATATATATATATATATATATATATATATATATATATATATATATATATATATATATATATATATATATGTATATATATGTATATATGTATATATGTATATATGTATATATATATATATATATATATATATATATATATATATATATATATATATATATATATATATATATATATATATATATATATATACTATTTAAATAAATTCCAAAAAAGCATAATTCTCTTTCTAAGTATTAGGAAAGGTATCCAATAGATAATATCTTGACTTACACATGTATTTATATTTAATTAAATAGTAGTGTATTAGTATATATTTAAAGATAATTATTTATTTTCTCATTTTTAGTGTGTTTATGCATAAAAGCTTGTTATTAAAACGTTTTAAAGCTTTTTTCCTTCTTCTTCGCTTTGTTATGTACGGACTGTAGAATTAGGGTAAGGTGACCCAGACAGGTTTATCAGTCTGCTGGGGCACGGAGTTTTAACACTCCAGTTTCGATCCATGACAAAGCTCGACAGACAGAAGACAAAGAAACAGAGTTTCTTCCAGGCATCTCTTCGGGGACGGAACCCCCCCCCCCCCATCCGGAATAGAGTCTACCGGCCCCTCGAAAGAAATAGAATTTATATAGAAAATGAATACTTTTTGCATTGACCCCCCCCCCCCTCCCCACAAAAAAAATTCGATTGCCCCCAGAGAAATAAGTCTGAAAGAAACACTGCAGAGAAACAAAGTTTTAAAAAAGTTTGTAATAAAAGCATGTAAAAAAAATATTGGCTTTGGTTAAACTAATCGGGGCTTTACATCATTACTTCTCTTAGACCAAAATTTCGGTTTCCCTTAGGTAAATATAGCTGGAGTGATCTCCTCTAAACCTTCTCGAATATAACAGTTAAGGGGTGGCACTTTCAGTCCAATCGTGCTATATAAATCTTTTCTATTATTTTTTTCTATAATTTTTTTAAAAATATAATAGAATCAAGTAGAAAAAGGATTGCGAACCAAACAAATGCTAACACGGTGTGCACGATAGCGAGAAAAATTAGTACTTTATAGATAAATCTGTAATTCATTTTTTAAAGGTTAGTTAAACATTTAATTAAGACACGTCTTATGTCAGAGTGCATAAGTCTTGGCCTACGTGAAACGTTTGAATAAAATCGGTCCGGTAGAAGTGCTATTTTTTTCAGTATTAAAAAATAGTTTAAAGTAATGCTTTCGATCACCGTAAATCACTCAAAATTTAACAGAAGCAACAGATAAAAATCCCATACCCGTGTATAAAATTGTGTCCAGCTAACTGAAAAAGAATTTAAGTTATCGGCACTTTAGAAACATGAAATAGACTAAACGACCCAGTCGTGTGCCAGCGCGTGGACCACATCCCCGTATGCTGTCTGTGAAGAGTATTTTCTAGAGCCCAAACGGGATTCGACTTAACGACAATTGATTTAAGCTGCAAAGTCTAATCTTTTATTCCGTTATGTACCGGCCTAAACCCACCATTCGATCATCTACACGTAGCACTCTCACTTATAAGCACAGAATAACATTGTCCACAGCTCTCTCTCTCTCTCTCCACCGACCCCTCCCCACCCGCGTCGTTCGAATCACCCTTGTAAAATACCGCTCCACAACACATCCTATTTCACTCGACCCGGTTGCTTCCCTCTCTAAATTCATTCACCAATAAAGCTTCAAAAAAGATTAATTCTATTATTAATATTCTCTACAGCTTCAGTCATATAATTATGTTTAACAGAATTAAAAAAATAATAATAACTCAATTCAGAGCTTGAATTTCCTGGATGTTTTAGAGACCGATCTCGCTATTTATTCCAGCCGCCGTTGAGGTTTAAACATGTAACCACTCAGGCATGTATGGCAAAACCATCCCCCGGGTCTGTTAACGTTGGCAGAGCCCCCCCCCCCCCCTCGCCCCAATGTGGGCTAGTTGTTGTATGTGTCACTAATACTGAACGTTGTGCAGTTGTGTGCTTGAAACAGACGGCCTTGCTGATGATAGAAGCTAACTCGGTGACGACTACAGAGGAAGCAAGCTTGTAAAAATAATGTTTTCTTTATATATATGATAATGAACTACTATTTAAATCACAAAAATAGAAGCGTGGGTTGTTTCTTAAATTGTAACAAAGTTATTCAACACATTATATAATGACTCAGGTTGAAGTCGGTGAAGTTAAAGGTGTAGCGTAGATGAGCAGTCACCGTCAGGATACATTAGGAAGCAAAAAACAGAAATCCTGCATTGGTTAAGTAGTACATAAAGAGAAGTATCCAATAGAAGTATAGTGTCATTGACGCTCACTGCGGTCTAGAATGTATACAGCCTTCTCATTTCGTAATAAGATTCAAATGGTGTATATTTTAACTACCCATTGTTATTAAATTGCTGTTACTATACCAAAATATAATATGGTTTACAAACATAAACATAAAAAGGAAAGTAAAATTATCAACATCAAGAGATTTATTTATGTATTTACTCATGGAAATAATAAGATATATTTGAATTAATGATTTATATACTTCTAATACTAAATTAATTAAGGTTAATAAAATGTCATCTGACCCATGGACCTATGGAGCGGCAGGCTCAAAAAGACATTTGTTTTTGAAGAATTAATCTATTTCTTCAATTTTCTTAAAAATGTATGCATGCATGCTTGGTTACTTTTCACATATTTTTGTTTTTCAAAACTGTAGATCGTGCTAGAGGACCATACACATATAGTATACAATGTAACACTATTCAACTACTCCAAGGGTCGGCAACCTGCGGCTCGAGAGCCGCATGCGGCTCTTTTGATGTCTAGATGCGGCTCTTTAGCTCCATGCACAAATATTAATAATTGTTTTATTTTCAAAACTTTTAAACATATTGTTCTTCAACACTCAGTAATGAACGATATAATAATAAATATAAACAATAAACACTCGCTATTTTATTAGAATATTTAGTTACTCCATATTTCAATGTGCTTTCTGTTAAATTGTCCAAAGTGTGGATATTACAAAGAAACTAATCGAGCTAAATGTAAAACTGCAAGGAAAGGAAAACCCAGCCTTGCATGAAGTAGTGGGTTGTTTCGAAAAATAAATTACTTTTTCTTGTTGAAGACACTGAGAGCGATACATTACTTAATTTCGAAAAATCTTTAAAAATACCATGATGAAACCAATGCTACTATTAACATGAATTACTTCATTACAATAAACTAATTGAAGGATGGATTCACCGAGAGATTTGAGCAATTCAAACAAATGCTAGTGCTCGAAGATTCTTAGCAGATCCTTTTAACACAAAAACAAATGAGATCAACATTGAGCCGTTTGGAATTGATGTTGGTTTGCTTCAAATGCAATTGCTGGATTTCAAAACGAAACATTTGTTTCAGTTAGGAGAGTTGGAGGTCCGGAGAAACATGCATGTTACGCTGCACAACTGGGCAGCTCTAAAGTAAATGCCGCGAGTTGAGGCCAGAGTTTCTTCCAGGCATCTCTTCGCCCCCCCCCCCCCCCTGAACGAAATGAAATGTATATAATTTATATAGAAAATATATACTTTTAACAGTGTCCGTCCCCCACCCCCCCGAAAAAA